ATTAGGAAAATCTGCAGATATAAATCAACAACACTTCTAAATACAGTACAATGAAAATGCATTTAGCATTTATTAAAGAATATTCCACTGCGTGTCCTAAGTTCCCGCACATAAAAACCGATAACCATCGTTTTCGTAGGATAACATGCAGGTTGCAGGGATTGATGAGTGGGGCTACATAAGCTACTGTTGCCTAGTGCTTCGATTCTGGAAGGCATAATTTTGATACTTCCATTACTTATTTTGAAATTCTTTCATAGCACAAAGAACATAATTCAAAAGTTTGGTTTCTTCATATGTACCAGCCAAGGGACATGTTTTGGTATGAAACTACTCTCAATTTCGCCAAAATTAATGCGCACTATTCTTAGTGAACCTAACTAAAAGAGCAATTTTCCAAACAAAAGGGCTTTCCCAGGAGTAAATTCACTCGGTCCTAAAATATCAAGTCAATTTTCCCCATAAAGGGGCATTGTTTCTGCGCAATACTGTATCAAATTATGTATGACATTCCATATACTATATTATATACTCCAAATGATATATTCTATGCTGTTCTGCAGCATATGCCTTGCCCATCTTGTAATTTAATGTTACCCTGTCCTTTAGGAAGCGGAATAAAAAGGAGAGAACCCTGCAGAAATTCCAGTTACAAATACGAACGAAATGGTTGCAAGGTGGCATTCTCGGGTAGCTCTGGCGGCACTCCTGATTGCATTCCTTCTTTTGTTGTCTCAATTCTACATAAAATCCAACGACCCTCCAATCGTACACCAGCTTGGCATTCAGGGTTTTATTGTCGATAGCGGCCGCACAAAAGTGAAGCGTCAGAAGCTGCCAAATCTGGAGCAGTTAGACTGGCCGGAACTAGAATATTTGCCTCTTCCGTTGGGTGTTACAAGAGCCGATCAAATTCCTTGGGGACCACAATACAGTCGTGAACAGATGCGGACCCAATGGAAACTCTTCAGTATTTTTGAAGACGTCATGGAGGAACTGGGTTTGAGTGACAAATGGATGATCTGGGGTGGCAGCCTGGTTGGATCTTTTCGTCACCACGATAACATACCCTGGGACGATGACCTTGATGTTGTCGTTGATTTCAAGGTCAGGGATGCGCTCTGGGAGAAAATGCTTGAGATGCCACCCGAAATTATAATTCAGCAGAGCCATCTCAGAGATAAGATCTACGCAAAATTCATTGAACCTTACAATACTGCGCAGGATGTCGAAGGTAGCCGCAACCTGAGTAGCTGGGGCTGGGGTTGGCCTTTCATTGATATCGGGTACTACATCACCAACGCAACCCATTTGGAAGAACGTGCCTTTTACGGTCCTGGGCATCAGACCTGTGCCATGTCTGATGTGTTTCCCCTCATATTCCGGCCATTCTACAAGCACTGGGTCCCAGCGCCGAGAAACACCTTTGCGGCTATTATGCAGCCGAATATTGGACAGGTCGACTGCCTCACATCCGGATGGTCTCATCCGTTTGAGAGGCACAGGCAGCGTCAGTTAAAACCGTGCAGCGAACTGGCGCATCGGTATGCTTTCGTTGAACACAGCCCTCTCTACAACAACAGCGACCAGGGCAGTCCGTCAGACCTGACGTGGGTCCGGGAGAGGCTTCTTCTTGGTCACCGGAGCATTCACGAACTACGCCTGGTAGCACCCAGACATGTGGCACATGTGGAAACCTACAGGATGCGTGTGGTGACGCCCTAGTCGAGAGGTA